AAGATGACTGAAAATCCACCTGTTCCTACTGTAGCCTCCCATGGTATCAGACAAACTTTCTCCCATGCTCCAGAGAAAATGTTGGTTGAGGAACTGCAAAACCATAAAAACTTAGAGTTGGAAGGGACCACAAGGGCCATCTAATCCAACCCCCTTCCAAGGAGGAACCCATAACCAAACCAGTCCTGAAATATGTCCATCCAACTTCTGTTTAAAGACCTCCAGAGATGAAGATTCCACCACCCTCTGAGGCAGTCTGTTCCACCATTAAACAGATCTTGCAATAAAAAAAAAATGTTCTTTATAATGTTTAGGTGGAATCTCTTTTCTTGTAATTTGTAATCTGATTCCATTGGAAGGGGAGGGTTGCTAATTCTAGGGTAAGTGGCAGAATCCAGGAAAAGAGCACTGTTGGAGCTCAGGTTTTAATAAGACAACTGCTACTGTTATCAACTCTTGAAATTAACAGTGGCTTCCAAACCAAGAAACTAAAGACGCATTGCTCATTGTCGTACTGCACTGTGATTTTTGTATTCTTAAGAATGCGTATATACCTAGTGAAATCAAGCTGGAACCAAGAACCCATGACTACGCAGATGTTGCATCTCAGGAATTGCCATGGTACAGGGAAGACAATCTCCTTAGGCACAAAAAAGCTTTGTAGGTATTCGAGTCACTTCTTGCATTCAGATTGGTTTCTTGCTCAGCAGCGAAAGTATAAAGAAATGGTTTTCAGCCTTTGGGTCTCCGAATGTTTTCAAGTTAGCTCCCAGAAGTCAGGACAGCCAACAGTCATGGATTCTGGGAGGTGGAGTCTAAAATATTTGGAGGCCCAAAGGTTGGGCATCACTGGTATAAAGCAAAGGTTGGGCACTTCTTTTTTAAAAATAGAAACAAAAAACAAGAGGTGAATTGAGCCATGGGCAGAGGGTGGAGCCAAAGCAATATGGACTGGTCGAAATGTAAATTTCATAAATTGCCTGGGTACAACTTATTTCAGGCATGAAACCTTTTCAGTCTGCAAGTCAGAGTTCCTGCTCCATGCAAAATCATTCCAGTCTGCAAACCATTGCTCCTGCTCCATGTTAAACCATTCTAGTCTGCAAACCAGAGCTCCTGTTCTATGAAAACTCTTCCAGGGCTGCAAATGAGAGCTTGAACCCACTCCAGGTTGAAGTCTGAACTTGAAAAACACAATCCGTGGCACCGAACCCAAATAGATTCAGCATTTTGGATGGCACTTTTCAAGTTTAGACTAAAAATGTGGAGCGGATTCACTGCCCACCCCTGACATGGAAGTCATTTGCCATCATGGCACTGTGACAGAGAAGTGGAAATGGCTCTTTTGAGAGCCTGGGAAACATAACTTCTCTCTTGGGGAGGGGAGGAGAAAGGAACACTCCCTCCTCACTCCTCTCCCCCCATCTGTCTCTCTATCTCTCTAATGAGAAAAAGGGTTTTCTAATTTATTGCTTTTACAGGATTGTTCCTCCACAGAGGCACAAATAGCAGCATATCAATAAAGCCAGCCATTTGAAGTTGGATATTTCCACCTCTGTCACAGCAAAAAATAATTAAAAACGGATTCGGAGGATCATAAATTGCATGCCACCGAGGACGGACCCTCTTTAACCCTGTCGGTACCAAGCTATGCCCGCAAGCACAGAAAGGGCCCTGGCTTATTGGCAAGTGAAGTGAGAATGGGCCATGCCCACCCTTTGACCCAGAATCAGTACTACAAAGTCACTTTTCCCAGCTCCTGTCCTCTGGTTCTTGTCGTCATCCGATCAGTAGGGGCTTTCAAGGCCATGGGGGTTGTGACTCTGCTTTGGTTTCCAATGCGAAGTTTACAAGAGCCAGCCAGGGTGCTGAAGTTATTTAGAAGATTAGGTCCAGCACCTCGGAGTGTTTTAAAATTAAGAGTAAAATCTAAAACAGATTTGTCCCAGCATTGTGATGAACACCACCAGTCACTACCCCAACTGAAGCTGGTGGTCTCTAGGAAAGGAACTCAGAGTGGGAGGAAAATTTGGACAAGTATACATGAAGCGTTCCACAATAGGGAAAATGTAAGGGACGGAAAATTATTTGCGGTTTTGATTAGTATGTTCTCTCTAGGAATCTCTTAAGTCCTCCAGCACAACTCTGCCAGAAGTTGACCACAGAGTTGTGCTGGAGAACCTAGAGGTTCCTAGAGAGAACACCTCTCTAGGCATTTGTAGGTCCTCCAACATGATTCTATGATAAACCTCTGGCTGATGTTGACCATAGAGTTGCACTGGAGGACCTGGAGATCCCTAGAGAGCTGTTCTC